GGATCAATATTATACAACCGAACGAATGACGCACACACACACACACACACACATATGCACCCACCCCTACCATTTCACAAAGGTGGGCATTAACCCTTTAAAAAGTTAAAGTTAAGTTGAAAAGTTAATTTCTTTTAACTTCTTTACTTAACTAGTTGATTATTTTTGTTTTTAACTCGTGTGTTAAATCATGAGTGATCAACTAGCCTATACTGATTCGTCGTCTTTTTAAATTTGTGTAATTTGATTATTATTATTTTGATTTGATTATACTTATGCACTAATAAATAGAATCGAAGTACTCTATAATATAGACTATAGAGCATAGCGTGCCTCCAGATTTCTAGAAAATGTCCAAGGGTGCCGCGAGTCAAAAAAGGTTGGAAACCTCTGGCCTAGAGCATTGTGATTATACTAATTAATAATTTTTCTTTCATTACTGCGCGCTGTTGTTTATTGATTATAGACTTGTTTAATATTATTTTAATACAATTATGACCTTCGAAAAAAGTAAATTGGATATCAAAATCGTAAACAAACTTTGTTAAAAGACAAAAAACCACTTACTATTATTAAAAAATTGATCACAAAATATAATATCAATTTGCATAGTTCACAACCTATATAGTTGTATTAAATGTACCTATTTTTATTTTGTTCATATATTAATAAATAATAATCTATTAATATGATCCATCAAGTAGGTACTTAAATATGTAAAAAATAAAACAAAATTAAACTTATATGATGAATTATAAGCAGATTTTGATTGTAGGTACGCTGTATGTTTTCATACGTAAATACGAATGTCATGTGAAAATGAAAATATGATATTAATATATTATCCAAATATTTCTACAACGCGATTAGGGTCTACTATAGTAGATACAGTATTCTCAAGATACATTTAAGGCATTCAATCTTTAATATACGTTTCTTATCTCAGTTACCATGGACCGATTAATTTATTTAAAGAACTTCCAAAACAAAATGTGCATTATAAAAATAATAATAAATGTTAATAATAATTCTATTAAAATGTCTAGTATAGGCTATAAAAAGAAAACTTCTATGAATTTTTAACTGAAAAAAAATATGAACATTTTCAGGGTTTTGATTAATTTTGTAAAAAATTGAACTTTAAATGAACTTAGAAATAATTTTGTTTATGTATCTTTAATATTTTTATCAATGATTAATTCATTTTATGAGACCCCTAGCGTTAAATTTACAATTTGTTATAGTTAATATTTGCTTTAAAATACCGCAATTATTATGGGTACTTATGCATTGAATCACATGTTTTTTTGGTAAGATGTTACATGCCCATTTTTGATTACATGTAGTGTGATGCGGCATTGCCTTTTATTATGCATAATTTAAAATTAAATAGTAGTCATGTACGTTCAGCGGAAGCACGTGCTGGAGAGTACACGTTGAGTTTTACGTCGTTCACGTCCCAGCAAAAACCTCCTCATAAATCGATGACTTCCAAATCTCGTAACCCGATTGCACCAAACGTTCTAGCAGCTAATACCACCTCATCCACCTTGGTTACCTGTCCATTATGTACAAAACCACTTACGGTCCGAAAGTGTCCAACGTTTCCTTCAAAATCACCAAATGATCGTTTCCAGCTAGCCAAGACGCGTCGTTTGTGCATAAATTGTCTAGGCACACGACAATCTACATCATCATGCCCTTCAAAATACAAATTCACAACTTTTCATCGGTCTCATAATAGTTTCCATCCTCATCCAAGGTTCTCTCAGCAGACCAAACAGGGGCTGAACAGAATGCCAAAGCAATGATTATCAGAAGACAGCCCCAGAACGTAGTCTTAATCTCTACTGTCCTACTTGATGTGGTTGTTGCTGACGGCTCCCGTAATTCAATTCGAGCCCTGTTTGACAATGGTGCTCAAGCGAGTTTCATTACTGAACAAACTGCTTGTGGGTTGATGCTAAAGCGACATCATTCGACCGGTGCAATTACCACGTTTCCCAATAGTACAACGTCCCCAGTCCGTGGTCAAACAACTATCACTGTGATGCCACGTGGCCAACAGGCACCGTCATTTTGAGTGTACCCTTACATCATCCCACAAATCACAGGACTGACTCGGCAAGATCCTATCATACCGAGACACTGGAGGCATATTCAAAACCTCTCTCTCGCTGATCCGTTGTACCATCGTCCTCAGTCAGTCGATCGTTTGTTAGAGGCCGACATCTTGCCAATGCCACTTCTAAATGGAAAAGCCACAGGCCAGCCTGGCATGCCCATTTCCTTCGAGACTGTTCTCGGTTGGATTCTGATGGGACCTGTCGACAGTAATGCTCAGTCAACTGTCACAACTATGTGTTAATCTGTTTCTGAAACTCTTGACTTGTCTATCAGGCGTTTCTGGGAACTTGAAGAGCTACCTGTTGTTCGCCATCTCAGTCCAGATGGGCGCGCTGCTCATTTATAAAAAAACAACAACTTGGCTGATTACTGGACTATACATGGTATCTCTTCCATTTCGGAAAGCATCGCCTGTGTTAGGTGATTCGAAATCTGTTGCCCTTCGCTCTTCCAGGCACTCGAAAACTGACTGAGTAATGATCAGAACCTTCGACGCCAGTACGCAGACTTCACGCAAGATTACCTGGACGCTGGTCACATGGAACTGGGTCCACTCGAAAACACAGACAATGTGTTTCATTATTATATTCCTCATCATTGTGTACTTAAGCAGTACAGTAGCACCACCAAGCTTCGTGTCGTTTTCAAAGTTTCGGCTCGTACAAGTGCTGGGTGTTCCTTGAATGAGAGAATGTATACGGGGCCGAAACTTCAGCCCGACATTCAAGTTGTTCTTCTTCGTGCACGGTTGTGGAAATATGTATTTATGACAGAAATCAAACAGATGTAGGTGCGGCCTGCTGATCGAGATTACCTGTGAATATTCTGGAGATTTTCGAAAAAAAAATACAGTGCAGGAATACCGTCTCTGTACGGTCACTGACGGCACGTCATCGGCACCATATCAATCTTTTCGTACAATTCAGGAATTGGCCATCGTTGATGGAAAATTATTTCCCATCGCTGCATCAATTCTCCTAAACGACACCTTCGTCTATGATATTCTCACTGGAGATAACACCGAAAAGGATGCCCTTGATATCAGTCGCAGCTTATAAAACTCTGTTCATTAGCCAAGTTTGAGCCCCGAAAATGGGCCATCAATAACAGTAATATCTTACAAGCTGTAGCCGCAGAAGCTCAAGCAATGTCCCAGCCCTTCTGTATAATGACACATATGAATTTGAAATAAAAATACTTGGTTTAAAATGGGATCCGAGAGCTGAAGTGTTTTCATTTGATACAAAACCATCGTCAACTGACCCAACAAAGCGGTCAGCTCTCTCAGACATTGCCAGAGTTTTCGATCCGTTAGGCTTGCTGTCTCCCATAACGTTCTGGACAAAACAAGTCATGCAGTTCCTTTGGACTGCTGGTCTAAAATGGGATGACAAGATACCCACAGATATTGCTCAAGTGTGGACACGACACAAATTAGAGCTGAAGTTGATTGAATCGATCTCTATACCTCGTCATATAACGGTTGACAAGGCAACCACAGTGCAACTTCACGGTTTCTCGGATAACTCAGAGAAAGGTTACGTTAGGTTACGTTACGGCAGTTTACCTTCGACCACAAACAGCTACTTCAGCTCAATGTCACCTTGTAACAGGTAAATCTAAAGAAGCACCTTTCAAAAGGTCTACTATTCCACGCCTTGAGCTGTGTGGAACTATATTAGCCGCCAAACTATTACATTTCGTTGCTGATACTTACTCGAAGAGTCTTCAAACTGATGAATAGCATACTTGGATGGACTCAACCACTGCGTTAGCCTGGATACAATCGTCGCCTCATCGTTGGGCCACGTTCCTTGCAAATCGAAGAAGTCAAATTCATGAATTCACCTCACCAGTCATTTGGCATCACGTCCCCGTCGACTGTGCTTCCAGTGGACTCTTTCCGCCGGAACTTGTTGATCACCCTTCATGGTGGACTGGCCCTTCGTTCTTGGTAGAATCACCGGAAAATTGTCCTTGTGTTGTGTCCCTCGTTCAGGATATCGGGGGAGAGTGGCTCTCTGGTTTGAGGTTTGTTGATGAGGTAGAAGCATTTTTCGGTTGATGACTGGATGAGTGTGGTAAATGAATCAACCTCGTTGTCGATTTCTGTTGGGCTTGATAATTTGGTCGTCAGTTTTGGGGATTTAAGCGATAATTCTTGGTCAAATTTCTTCCAGTTAATTCTTTTTCTGGCAGCCGGAGGGTTTATTGTAATAGGAAAGTCGCTTATAGTCATAACAATTGGGTTGTGGTCTGACGTTAGTTCATTATGATTGGTAAGGAAATACTCTCTGTGAGGGAGGTTTACAAGTGCTATATCCAGGATCTCTGGCCTGTGTAAAGAATTGTAGGAGTAGTGTGTTGGGGAGTCAGTTGCGCAAATGGAGTATGTGTTGGATGTTTCCATATGTTGGTGGAGAATTCTGCCCGCCTAGTTTGTAGTGCGACAGTTCCAAGACTAATGTTTCGTGTTAAGGTTGCCAGCTGCTAGAAAGAGGCCGTTCTGATTTGTTAGAATGTTCAGGTCATTGGTTAACAAGGGAGAATTCGGATTTTTTTACATAGAAGTTATACGGACTTGGTCATATCCAAGTTTGATTGTGACTGTAGTTGACTCAAGGGAAGTCTTGATGTCCTCTTGGTTGTGGATTATGTTTTTGTGGACAAGCATGGCAGTACCACCCTCTGATGGGGATCTGGGTTTTGGTGGGTGATATTGACGATAGGTAAAATAGTTTGGGATCTTGAGTATGGTTGATGGGTTTAATTTAGTTTCTTGGAGGAGAATGACGTGTATGTTGTTGAGACGTGCGAAGGTGTTTAGTTCGTTGTTTTTGTACTTGATGCCATTCCAAAAGAGAATATTAATGTTATTCACTTTGGGCTGAGAAATCTGTGATGATTGACATGATGGTGTTTATGATGGAATCTTTGGTGGAGGCGTCCTTACATTCATGAGCTGAAGCTAATAGTTTATGTATTATAAACAGTACTTTGGTGGCCGTTATAGAAGGTTCGGTTACTGCTGGTTTTTGACCACTGGTGACTTCAGCGAATGATGCTTTTGGGTGGGTCCGAGATGATGTGTTGTTAAGACATGTAGATGGTTCAGGCGGAGTTGGGCGATTGGAGATTCTGAGTTTGTAGGCCTTGATGATTGCTGGATGGGCTTCTTTTTGTTTCATAAGGTTTATGTAGAATTGGCATCCTCAATAGTTAGCGGTGTGAGTTTCACCGCAGTTGCAGCATTTGGGCGCGACGTCGATAAGTTTGATGCACGAGTTTGAAGCATGGGTGTCGCCACACTTGACACATCTTGAAGAGTGGCCGCATTGGAGGGAGGAGTGGCCGAAGTTTTTTCATTTGTAGCATTTTGCTGGACCAGTTGATCGATACAGCTCGATTTTGACGTTGAAATAGAAGAGTTTAGATATTTGGTATATATCTTTAGCTTGTTCGAGGTTTGCAAGAGTAACCATATATAGATTAATTCTGTGGCCGTTTTTGAGAAAGCTCTGATAAATGTTGGCTCAAAACCATTGGATTTGAGTTCATCGATTATTTCTTGATCTGTGATATCAAGAGGAATGCCTTTGATGACTATTTTTAGTGTGTTTTGGCTAGGAAGTGCATGTGTGTGGAACCCTACTTTATTTTGGATGGATTCGAGAAAAGATTGTACTGAGCGAAAATCAGCTTTAGAGGTGGTACTTGTTTCTATATATTCATGTCCGGGTGATTCATAAAGACTTTTGGCTATGGTGCGCCATGAGTACTCAGGTTTTTTCGTCAGAAATATAGGCGGGAGTCTTTTTGGTATGGGCTGATGGTCGTTTGTAGAGGACTGATGACTGCTTTCATCGTCTTCTGTGGTTGACGGCCGAAATGAGTCTTCTGATAAGGTTTCTTCGGCAACATATGGCGAAGTTGGAGAATAGCGTTGGCTTATTGGTGCGATGCCTGGGATAGTTTGCGATATGGAAGGTGGTGAGAATGTTTGGTTGCGTCCTTTCTTTACGGTGTTGTTTGGAGGTGTGGATTTGCGTTTTGCATTGACTGCGATTGCCGCGGTTGGTCATGATTTGGGAGTCCTTCGCTTCGGTGCGAAACCCAGCCGTGTCACCCCTTAGGGGACTTGCCTCGCGGTCGAGATGGGGGTTGATGAGTAATGAATTTTCTACTTACGAAGGTGGGTGTTTCGTTGGATGTCTGGAGAGTACCATCTGCGGTACCTTCAAACATCCATGGTTTTGATATAAACGTTCCTATAAAGTCAATTTTGACAAAAAATATCTATCCAACATTAATGAGTATTATTTTTACAATCAATATTTTTAATTTTGAACGTCACTACATCGTTTGTGTGTTTAGGTACACGTTTTTATCTATGTATATATTTTTTACTGTATAGATTAATGGGGAAGCATAAAATAATACAAATATTTGGCACCATCATGCAGAGTGTTTAACGTATAATAAATTATATTATAATTCAACAACGAATGACCCACTTTCAATTAATTACAAGACTTTTAAGTTTTAAGATATATTTTGTAATTTCATAAGAACATTGAAAGCTAACACTGATACAAAGTTATTATTCTACTTTTAAACCTAGATTCTGGTTCAGTTGGAGATTCCCTTATTTATATTTTCTTATTGAAAACTTTTTGTTTTTGCTTTCGGTTTTGAAAATAAATGTTGGGGTTTTAGTATAATCATTTATACACAAAAATGTATTGATCTTATGAAAAATGTAATTTGTTTAAAAAATAACTAACTCTTATTTTATATCTACATCCTTAAGTAGTAAATTCAAAATATTAATAATTGTGTACGGGCCGGAGTATATAATAATAATATACGTGTCCGGACACCAAACTCCTTTTTTTTACGCCACTAACACCTAGGTCTAAAAAATATATAATGGAGGACTAGCTGGGTGTGTAATGGTGTAATAGCTCGAACAGCAGTGGTCGAGATCGCCTAGCAATTGCTGTCGGCTATGTAGTGCATGTTGTGGATTATGTGTATTTGTGTATGAATGTGTGTATGTATGTTGGTGTGTAAGTATACAATTAAACAATTAATACAAAAATTGTAACAAGGTTCAATGGCAACTTGATGTATAATAGGTACACGACTTTAAATAATTCACAATGATAAATTATAATAATATTATAATTCGCTGCCCTTATAGCTGAACAGAATATAATAATAATATACAGATTAATAATTGCTGGTATGAGTATAAACTCGTCTAGAATAATCTTCTTCTATATATATAAAAATGAATGTATGTCAGTCTGTGTGTCTGTGTGTCCATGTTACCATGGTTACCAAGGTTGCCATGGTTACTAAGGTTACCAAGATTTCATATCAATCTATCTATATATATAAAAATGAATGTATGTCAGTGTGTGTGTGTGTCCATATTACCATGGCAACCATATCTGTATATATAAAACAGTAAGCTGATTGACTGCTATCAACGCACAGCTCAAACCATTGGACGGATCTGGCTGAAATTTGGCATACAAATAGCTATTATGATGTAGACGTGCGCTAAGAAAGGATTTGCCAAAATTCGCATTATAAATAGGTGCTGAAACAGGGACATTGAGATTCACGATAAAAATTGGAAATTATTGTATTTTTATTTATTTATAGTTGCCATTGGTTACAGTCTACATTAGAAATTAGCATTTATTTATTGGTTGCCATTGGTTATTCGGGCAGATCAGGTACAAGCTTGCATCAAATCGAATTATTGAACATTGCCTACCAAGGTGGCTGAGTTGCACTTACCGCAGCAAGTTACACCCAAAAGGAGTTCAACAATCATAATTTTTTTAAAAGTTGCGATTTTTTACGAGCAACCAAATTTGTTATATTAATCCATAGTATTATATCAAAATAAACTTGGTATAACTTTGATACTTTAGAGTTAAATCATACACTTCCGTACAAACAGCACGGGGTTCGCGATCTACCGCAGGTAGATTGCCTACCTGATAATGTACTGCTGCGATTCGGAATGTTTATTCCGGGCAACGGAAAAGATAAGATACATTTTGAACACCATACACCGAAAATTGAATAATGAATTGAACAAAGTTTGAGTCATACTGAGTCGATACATTAAATGTACATAAAAAAATACATTAAATATATATATATTATATATATTTAATACATTAAATTTTAACGAGCGACGAAGTGCACGGGATCAGCTAGTATAATATAAAATATAAAAATAATATGCGGCCCTTTTGGCACGATAGTAAAATAATTATAAAATGTGTACGGCCCTTTTGGCAGGTGCGTGACGCTGGCACCCGCAAGTTTGAAATTCAACTCAAAAATCACATCAGTAATTGTTATACAATTTGTACAAATTTGTGAACCCAATTCCAAAACTTGTACACCCCCCCGTCGCCCTTAAAATCCAAAAACGATTTCCGGGTGCCAGCATCACGTGACGCTGGCACCCGGATTTCGATGTATTTGGCCTATCGACCCAAAAACCACATCAGTAATTGTTATACAATTTGTACAAATTTGTAACCACAATTCCAAAATTTGTACACCTCTCCGTCGCCCGTAAAATCCAAAAACGATTTCCGAGTGCCAGCATCACGTGACGCTGGCACCCGGATTTCGATGTATTTGGCCTATCGACCCAAAAACCACATCAGTAATTGTTATACAATTTGTACAAATTTGTAACCCCAATTCCAAAATTTGTACACCCCCCAGTCGCCCATAAAATCCAAAAACAATTTCCGGGTGCCAGCATCACGTGACGCTGGCACCCGGATTTCGATGTATTTGGCCTATCGACCCAAAAACCACATCAGTAATTGTTATACAATTTGTACAAATTTGTAACCCCAATTCCAAAATTTGTACACCCCCCAGTCGCCCGTAAAATCCAAAAACAATTTCCGGGTGCCAGCATCACGTGACGCTGGCACCCGGATTTCGATGTATTTGGCCTATCGACCCAAAAACCACATCAGTAATTGTTATACAATTTGTACAAATTTGTAACCACAATTCCAAAATTTGTACACCTCTCCGTCGCCCGTAAAATCCAAAAACGATTTCCGGGTGCCAGCATCACGTGACGCTGGCACCCGGATTTCGATGTATTTGGCCTATCGACCCAAAAACCACATCAGTAATTGTTATACAATTTGTACAAATTTGTAACCACAATTCCAAAATTTGTACACCTCTCCGTCGCCCGTAAAATCCAAAAACGATTTCCGAGTGCCAGCATCACGTGACGCTGGCACCCGGATTTCGATGTATTTGGCCTATCGACCCAAAAACCACATCAGTAATTGTGATACAATTTGTACAAATTTGTAACCCCAATTCCAAAATTTGTACACCCCCCAGTCGCCCGTAAAATCCAAAAACAATTTCCGGGTGCGAGCATCACGTGACGCTGGCACCCGGATTTCGATGTATTTGGCCTTTCGACCCAAAAACCACATCAGTAATTGTTATACAATTTGTACAAATTTGTAACCACAATTCCAAAATTTGTACACCTCTCCGTCGCCCGTAAAATCCAAAAACAATTTCCGGGTGCCAGCATCACGTGACGCTGGCACCCGGATTTCGATGTATTTGGCCTATCGACCCAAAAACCACATCAGTAATTGTTATACAATTTGTACAAATTTGTAACCACAATTCCAAAATTTGTACACCTCTCCGTCGCCCGTAAAATCCAAAAACGATTTCCGGGTGCCAGCATCACGTGACGCTGGCACCCGGATTTCGATGTATTTGGCCTATCGACCCAAAAACCACATCAGTAATTGTTATACAATTTGTACAAATTTGTAACCACAATTCCAAAATTTGTACACCCCCCAGTCGCCCGTAAAATCCAAAAACAATTTCCGGGTGCGAGCATCACGTGACGCTGGCACCCGGATTTCGATGTATTTGGCCTATCGACCCAAAAACCACATCAGTAATTGTTATACAATTTGTACAAATTTGTAACCCCAATTCCAAAATTTGTACACCCCCCCATCGCCAGTAAAATCCAAAAACAATTCCCGGGTGCCAGCATCACGTGACGCTGGCACCCGGATTTTGATGTATTTGGCCTATCGACCCAAAAACCACATCAGTAATTGTTATACAATTTGTACAAATTTGTAACCCCAATTCCAAAATTCGTACACCCCCCCGTCGCCCTTAAAATCCAAAAACGATTTCCGGGTGCCAGCGTTACACCCCACTTTTTGTACAATCGACTTTTTGACTCCAAAATGGTACCAACGATTGTTATTTCATTTGTACACATTTGTAATCCTAACTTAAAAATTTGTACACCTCCCTGAATGTCAAAAAATTAATTTCAATGGTGCTTACTTCAAGCTGCCCCACGGATTTTTTCTATCGAATCGAGAACTCTTCTAAAATTTAGTAACAATTTAGACATTTAGTAACTAATTGTATCTGACATCAAACAATTTGTAACCAAACAGTTTCCGAGAAAACTCAATTTCCATTTCGGGGGCCTAACATTTTATTAGGTTACAATATCTGATACCTACAAGACTTTTTGACAATCTTCCAATTATATTTGACTTCAAACATGTTTATGAAGATTATTTTTTTTGTGTGTCTGTGTACACGATAAGTAGTCGAAATAATGCTTAGATTTTCAACTTCTGTATCTTGTTCGATGGGAAAGTGAATATTGTTGGTGCATTGAAAAACAGCATACAAATTAAGGAAAAATGGGAATTTTTACGGAAAAACGGTTTTCCACAAAATTGATATTGGTTTTTGGTCTAACTCTAAAACAAATGAAATTTTCACTGGTCGTTTATATTTGCATTTTCTATACACGATAAAATGTTGAAAATATTTTGACTGTTTTTGGGCTGTTTACTTTTTTTTTCTATAAATATCAATAAAATTGTATTTGTTGGGTAAAAAAGCGTGAACATTTAATGCAACGCTCCTGATATATTGTTACAATAGCAGTTTAAAAACACATGTGCACAATTTTTTTTTATAAGCATTTAAAGTTCAAATTTTGACAAAATTTAATAGTTATTTTGTAGTTAAAAATTTATAAAATGTTCAACTATTATAATAGTTATATATTAGCTAAGGATTGAACATTTAAAACAGGGTTCCACGTAAATAGGTAAATGTTATATTTAAGATATACCTAGGTAGGTACCTACATATTAAATATAATTTTTGCATAAAAATAAGAAAGATGGTAGAAGTTATAGGTACCTATTTAATTATAATTATATTATTCAGTACCTACATTTAATGGGCGCCCGGGAATTGGGCCACAATTCACCTTTTTTTACATGGGTATATAGTAATTGGGCCACCAACATTTTATATTATTTTATTAAAGGTAGGCCCGGTAATTGGGCCACTAAAATTTTATATTTATAATAGGAAGACCCGGTGATTGGGCCACTATTACATTTTAAATTGTAATAAAATAATATTGAAGTCAGATGGTTTGGTTAGGATGTCAGAGCACTATTTGTTTACTCTAAGATTACTTAAAATCATAAAAAAAAGTATTCTGCGTAAATGCGTTTTGTCTATGTTGCGCGTATACATATTTTTATATAAATTGATACAATTCCTAATACTGCAGCGCACACGAAACTTTACTCGAAGCGACTGCGTATGCCTTATCAAAAGGTAATAAATTATACAATATCTTATGATGTAGAATTATCAATTGTCATCAAATGAAATGGATAAAAATAGTCATACGCGTATAGTGTGCAAAGATTATGAAACATTGTAAATTGTGATCGTTTATAGTTGATTAGCAAACTATACGATCGACATCTAGTAGTACACGCGTGGTTCGTACTTCGTAATATAAAGTAGGTGCAATGGAAGTGTTAATGTCCGAAGGAGGAAAAAATTTATTAATTTTTAATAATTATAAATTTTCTTTTGCTCATGAGAGTCAATGTGGCAAAACTCGTTGGCGATGTGCCAAGAAAACATGTCCAGCCAAAATGTATACAATTTCAAATAATATACAAATGGGTACGTCAGGGCCGGTTTTAAGGGGGGGCACCGGTGGGCAATTGCCCGGGGGCGGCAAAATTATCTCAAATAAAATAAACAAAAAATTAATTTTTTTTGTAAAGAGAAAGATTTCTAAAAAATGATACATTTTATTACTATTTATTTTTTAAATTCACATATGCATACATTTTTTTTTACCTATATTTTATCATTTTAAATAAAGAAAAATAAACGTTATTAACTAAGTAGGTAGGTACCTACTAGGTATCATGGAAGATTCTAGGTAGATATAGTACCTATAAGACCTAAGTTATAAATTAGTTACTTATGTTTTTTTGTATAGTTTACCAACTATTAAAAATCTAATATTGGAATGCATAGGTACCTAGTTAAAATTGCTAAAAATTAACTGCAAATTAAATTTCAATGAGAAAGGGAAACATAAAAAAGGTGGGCAAGTGGGTGTCGCTCTGCTGTACAGTAGGTTACAAGTGGGTCACTGTATAATGGATGATATTAAATTTGAATTCAACGATATAATATCATTGTATAAGAAAAAAACGATTCTGAGCGGAGACGGTATGTCAGACTATGTATAAGACATATTATATACATACCTATGGTATAAAACAAAAAATTGACCTATAATAGGTACCAATAATAAATTCCAAATTAATCATATCACAATATCCATTAGGTACTTATAAAGCGTTATACATCAACAAAAACCGTGATACTATCATAGATATTAAAATATATAATAGTACACTTTAGAAGTTTCAGGTACCCACGAATAATATTATTCAATCACAACAAAATAACTAAAATAGTTATTCTAAGTTTTTTAATATTTAATTTCGTCCAAATTTGAATTTAAAGTGTCTGTAAAAAATAACTGTGTTCATATATTTTTTAGATTTTTTGGTTACAGTATGAATTATTTATGAGAACCTTTGTTTTAAATTTGCAATCATTAGCTATAAAAACTGAACATTTTATAATTTATTAATTACAATGATTGATAATTTTCGAGATTTTGATAAATTTTGTCAAAATTCGATCTTTAAATGCTTATAAAAAAAAAACTGTGCCTATGTATTTTTAATATTTTTCAACTGCTCTTGTAACAATATATCAGGAGACTTGTATTAATTTTTTACACTTTTTGGCCCAACAGATAAAACTTTATTGATATTTATAGAAAAAAAACTAAAAAAAATTGAAAGATGTAAATGTCCATGAGCAGCTCAAAAAGAGTCAAAATATTTTCAAAATTGTATGGTGTATAGGAAATTCTAATATAAATATTCAGTGAAATTTTCATGTATCCAAAGTTATTCGTTTTTGAATTACAACAAAATAAGGAAATCGCTACATGAGAAATCGAGTGAATATTCAATGTTGTAAAAATTTGAATTTCAAACGCTCTTAAAATTTTAATTTGACTTTCTTATAGACATTTTTTTTTTTGATAAAAGTAGACAAACTTATGAGTAATCTTGTATTACATTTTCAAATCTTAGATTTAAAAAGAAAAATTTTTACGAATTCTTAACTCAAAATAATTTGGTAATTTTCGTGATTTTTCCATATTTTGTCAATTTTTGAACTTTAAATACTTATAAAAAAAAAATTGTGACCAATTATTTTTAATATTTTTCATCTGCCTTTGAAACAATATATTAGGAGCCTTCTATTAAATTTTCAAGCTTTCGCAACCAACAAATAAAATTTTATTGATATTTTTAGAAATATTTTTTGGGTCGATAGGCCAAATACATCGAAATCCGGGTGCCAGCGTCACGTGATGCTGGCACTCGGAAATCGTTTTTGGATTTTACGGGCGACGGAGAGGTGTACAAATTTTGGAATTGTGGTTACAAATTTGTACAAATTGTATAACAATTACTGATGTGGTTTTTGGGTCGATAGGCCAAATACATCGAAATCCGGGTGCCAGCGTCACGTGATGCTGGCACTCGGAAATCGTTTTTGGATTTTACGGGCGACGGAGAGGTGTACAAATTTTGGAATTGTGGTTACAAATTTGTACAAATTGTATAACAATTACTGATGTGGTTTTTGGGTCGATAGGCCAAATACATCGAAATCCGGGTGCCAGCGTCACGTGATGCTGGCACCCGGAAATCGTTTTTGGATTTTACGGGCGACTGGGGGGTGTACAAATTTTGGAATTGGGGTTACAAATTTGTACAAATTGTATAACAATTACTGATGTGGTTTTTGGGTCGATAGGCCAAATACATCGAAATCCGGGTGCCAGCGTCACGTGATGCTGGCACCCGGAAATTGTTTTTGGATTTTACGGGCGACTGGGGGGTGTACAAATTTTGGAATTGGGGTTACAAATTTGTACAAATTGTATAACAATTACTGATGTGGTTTTTGAGTTGAAATTCAAACTTGCGGGTGCCAGCGTCACGCACCTGATTCCCCAGGTCCAGACTATTGATTTAAACAGTACACGAATTAAAAAATTTTAATTTCCAATCTTATCAAAATGTTCAATGAAACAAAATATAATGTTTAGTGCCCATGACTGCTATACGTAGTAGGTACCTATGTGATATTTGGTTTATATAAAACAAAATAAAAATTTGACAAAAAATGTGCAATATTCAATCAAAAACATTGTAAGTACAATGTTTTCATTATACTTACGGTTATGTTATGAGCTGTAATCTGTCCTACGGCGGTTCCTGGTCGAATAACTCTATCACTCGCTATCCAAAAAACTTTGTTTACCATTGGATTAGAACAAAACTCGGCTGATAATCGGGTGTCGTTTCCTTCATGCGCAACAATAGTTCTGTTTTCAGTATATATCACTGGACCACCTGGAAATTAACAACTTGTGTTATTCGTATTTCGTGTAAATGTTTAGACAATAACCGATAGGACTAACAGCTATTACATTAAAAACGTATTCCTATTAATAACTTATTTGTTATTCTAAATACTAATATATGAATAAAAATAAATAACTTACCGACAACATTTAAATGAAGTGTATACACCCTGAGTTTTTCTAGATTTTCATTTTTACTGCCCACAATACATTTATATTCACCTGCCTCTTGATATAAAACTTGATCTATATGAAGATTACTACTTGGCCCTATTGGTTGTAGGTCATTATCATTGCCAGTTTTAGCCCAACATGGTATTGCCGCACTAGGTCCTGATGGACATTCTAATTGAACTTCGCCACCAACAGTGACCTCAACAGATTCAGAGGAACCAGAATTGTCTTCTTCGATTAACTCTTTGCGCACTGTATCAAGATCATTTAAATTGTCTAAAATATAACGAGGTGCGAGTAATTAGATTTTAAATTAAAATTATACTTATAATGAATTACTCACATCTAACATTTAAAAAATAACCAATTGAAGAATATTCAGATAACAAATGTCTGCTGGTACATTTATACCAGCCACTATGATTTCTTCGTATTGACGTAAAGTTTAAAAAACCATCATCAGTTTGGAGAACAGGTGGTGCACTATCATCTAATACAAACATAGTAAAACATGAGATCAATTGTATTTTAAAAATCGTAATCAACGTACCTTTTTGCCAGACAGGAGATGACGGTGGGTTTGAATCAACATCGCATTTAAGAGATACTGAAATACTTTCTTTAATAGGTATTCCAAATCCAGGAATTCTACTAATTCCAAAAGAGGGAGTATCTATAAATACGAAAAGGCAATTTTAAAACATTGTTGAACCAAAAACGAGGCTTGTAGTATCGGCCCAAACCCACATAAGTGTAACTGTGCAGGACGGGCATTTAAAGTTTTGAAATTACATAATGTTAGGTTAGTCACCCAAACAATTATGTGCTGCTATCTAGTGGAATAATTTTTTTTAAAGGTTGTTCCGGTATGGTTCTAATGCCTCAAATATAAGAGACGTTTTTATCAGAATCTTAATCTTTGTGGTTAAATACAAAATAAGCTACCTTTACACTACCCGCAGTGACGTAATTAGTACTTTGATAGGGAGGAGAGAATTATTTGCACATAATATTATTTAAATACGATAAATTAATGTTTTGCTTTGCCGGTAGATAATATGATCCTGCCAGTTTTTTTACATAGTGTCATTTTAAATATTTGAATGTTATCAGATTATAGGAATGCTCTAATAGTCTAATATACGTTAGTAATACAATGTTCTTACGAAAAAAAAATTAATAAATGTTCTACTTTGCCTAGTTTCAGCATTAAATAGTGAGCAGACGATATCTACTATTATTATATTTTCAAGTGTATTTGTTTGCAAATAAATGAATAAAAAAAAAAAAATAATAATAATAATTCAAAATTGCGTAGAGCCACTAAAAAATAATTCTAGGAGTCACTCTTATTAAACTCTGTAATTACGACACTGCTATCCGTAAAATGTATATTCTTATATATCGATTTTGAAAATCAACTTACATTGAACATCAAGAAGAATAGTAGTGTTCAAGGGGTTTGCAAGAGTAACATGTGTAACTATACACGCCACAGTAGCATTGTGATGAGCTCTAAGAACTCTTTGAATTTTAGCTGAACTACGACTAATGTCTTTCTCTTGATACGATTCATTAGATTGCAGTAATCCTGAAGACATGGCTTCATTTTCTAAATTTGAATTACTTGGAAATAGTAACCAATGCAAGGATGGCATTGGATTACCACCTTCAACCACACACTCTATACTTAAATCCATGTTTTCTTTTACTGGTACAAATAAATTTCCAGGGTCTAAACGGTGCCCGTCAATTAATAAGTAAGGTTCTTTTGGAATTTCTAGAACGAAAAGATACATCATTATTTTAAACACTATAATTATTATTTTTATTATTATATAAAAATAAAATACCTAAAACTACTAAATTTATTGCTCTAGCTAATTGTTTTTCGTTTACGCATTGCCATATCCCATTATCATCTAGCCTTATATTATTAATAACTAAAACTCCTGTGTTATGGTTTAGGTTATAACGATGTCCAAGATCAACGTTCTTCCCATTGTGCAGCCATCTATTATAATTTAAACAAATTAATTTTATTTATTATACACATTTTTTAGATTATTAAATAGTTATTTATTTAGGTGCCAAATAGTGTATCAACTTATTATTTAATTGCCGGGTTTTCTTTAAAAGTATTTACCATCACATTTTTATTTAACAACAATAATATTACAGTCAATTTAATTTGTTACTATAATATAATTATTTAAAAAATAAAATAAATATACTGTAGGATTAAAAACTTAATAAACTGTAGTTAAAATATAGTGAATTGTTTCCACGTTGACCGCCAAAACCTAGATAATATTTCACAATGTTAATTACATTTTCCTTGAGATCTTGTATTCTTATTCTAAAATTCGACAAATTATTAAATATTGGTTATGAGATCTCATTTACAATAACGTCAATAACATTATCTAAAATTAATTGAATTTCAAAATTGGTCTCAAATGTCAATAGTTTTACTTTGATTATAAATGTACAACGTAGCAACTTTTAATCGGGCTTTATAGAATGCATTTAACGATTTTCATTGTTTTTTTTTATGATTTTTTGAATTTCAAGCCATAATATACCAAATTAATAATGCAAATCACTAATAAAATATTGGGTTGTATACTTGTAGGTATACTTCATTATATATATATACTTACTTAACCTAAGTATTAACAAAATAAGTAATAACTTATTTAAACATTAAAATATTTTATCATTTCTCATTACTATTTTTGCACTCAAAATCAACATGCGCTTTAATTGGAATTGAAAATGTCTTAATTTTATTGTTATGTGACATTTTAACAATTATAAATGTCCAGATTTATAAAAATGTATCAAATGATTATACCTATAGGATTTTTCATTGTTTATTATAAAATAAATAGTTGAGATTTAATCTAATTTCTTGTATGAACTACATAGGTAACCTACCTACCTTTTTAGAGTGATATTTTATTTGAGATCTCGCCTTAATTGTAAAAATTAACATTTTTTTTGATAGTGACATGCTACTAGACTTATTCTAAAATCTCAACTCTAATCTATTTACAACTGTAAAAACTTCTTAAAAAATCAGTAGACATTTTTTCCAAAAATAAAATTTTGTAAACCTAAGAAAATATACTTCGTTATCAGGTCAAAGTATTGTGAGATCATATTTTAGATCTCATGACGGTCAACGTGATGGGTATTAGCTATTAATAATAAATTAATCTATGTATCGAATAAATTAATTTTATAATAATAGTTCTATAATAAAGTATTTTACTAAATTCCGATAAATATACTTAGCTTATTAGAATGACTTAACATAACTAGTAGGTTATTCATAATATAATCGTAGCTTACAATATTATTAATATTGTTTGATGCATGCTAATTTTATACATTGTTAGAATAGATAGTTTTAATGGAAAATTTTATAACGCAGAAAATTCTATTGATTTTACTGAATAAAATTACTTATTGATTCACATAATGTAATTTATAATAAGATTATGTCCTAAATCTATAATAATATACTATATCATCATAAATGTATATTTAGGAACTATAGGGAGCTCCTAGTTAAAATTAAATACGTTTCTTTAAACCCTAAGTGCTTATGTAAATGTTTGTGTTTGCATTTAATTGTGAGTTGGTGTAGTATATTGCAAGAATATACTCACTTTAGTTTCATTTGTAACCAATTGGACGTAACATTTAAAGCGGGTAAAATTCCGCATGGTAACTTCACATCTGAATGAGGCCAAGTTAATTGCTCTATAGGGCTTAAAGTACTCAGCCCGGTATTGTCTCTTTGCTGATGATGCCTCAAGATGTGAGTCATAGTTTTGACATCTGTAAAAACATTGAAAATCATTAGAACAACTTTCAAGTAGGTACCTAATTAAAAAAATATATAATTTCATTAATAAATGAAAAATTAATTTATTTGATTTACATAATAGAGATAAATGATAATGTTTTACTTGTACCTATAGATATTTATATAACATAGTCTAGATACTGAAAGTTTATAGGATAAAACTATTTATAAAATAATATAAGGTACCTATATAGTGTTTGAAGTATGAGAAATATTTCATGAAATATTTCAAATGAAATATTTCATTTTGAAATATTTCACTAAGTTGTGAAATATTTCACAAAAACGCGAAACATTGAAATTTTTTTTAACACAAATAAAAACACAATTTATTTATTTTTTTAACACAATGTTCAGTGTTCTAAATTCTAATGTCAGAATTCAGTAAGTATAAAATATACATGTATAATATTGTATACCTACTTGTATCATTTAAACATTAAAATATTTAAAAATTTTGAATACCAATTTAAATGTATAATACCAAAGGTTAGGTATACATACAGGTTACCATATAGTGATGAAGGTAATTTATGACAATTATATGTAAATATAAAACTTATTTAAAAATAAAACAAAATCTATTAAGATACTGAAATATTTCACATATTTTGAAATATTTCATGAAATATTTCACGAAATATTTCATTTTTTTAAATTTCATGAAATTTTCAAACACTATACCTATATATCATTAAAAAAAATACTTGTTTAGTTAAATGGTTTGGATAATAGGTATGCCAATTACTAAATCTATTTACTATTTAGGCATTTAGCTGATGAGTATACAGTGGGTTCAAGCTAAAAGGTATTAGAAGATAAAGGAATGGCACGGTGGCCACCTAAGTATCTAGTATCCCTAGTATCTCTGGTAATAAAAATCCAAATTCTAGCAAATTCTCTCAATTAACCCCCAAACTATTGGTGAAGATTTTCAGTTGCTACGCCAAAGTACGTAATAATTTACTATTGCTATTATAAAAATATATATATACTTTAATGTTGTTAGCTATTACATAATATTATATGTTTCACAAATTTTTTTTAGTTATGTGCAATATTTTGTTTCTAAATCAAGCCAATGTCCGTAAAAATATAGGACAAGATAAACATTTCTACAAATACTATACAAATTTTAAATTACGATCAAAATAATATGTTATCAGTACCTACAGAGATTTATTAATACTATGTATTACAAAAGTATATAAGAAATTTTAGTTTGTTGTATTCATAAAAAATATTATTATAATAAACAAATACAAAGCCGCCGTTACCCCAACATATTTGGCCGGTAATACCCCTATCCAAGTAGCACTCCAGGCCGCCATTCGTATTAATGATCCAGGCCCTGATTATTAGGTCGATACTTAGGTTTTGATAACAACAATTATCAAATAACGTGAACATCTAAATTTTAGATATAGGTATCATATTTTATGAGATATGCCACTGTCCACTGACCGGAATTCCCCAGTGGCCGTCATTCCCCATTTCAAAGTTAAAATTACTGATTTAATTTGTATTAACAATATTTATACAATATTTTGAAATACAATATTGCCTTGTGAGTCATACAATGTATCTGTATAATGTATTAATAAATAATAATTATGTGAGTTTGTAATTTGCACCAGGTACCTAGTCGAAAATAGTGTTTGTAATTTACACCAAAATAAGTGGGTGTCTATAATATATATTCGATCATGTATCAAGTATCTACTTATTCGACTATTTCGTCGGTACCTTTGACGCGACGTCGAGACTCGAATGACTCGAATGACAATAATAATTTTTCGAGATTTCTAACTACCCACTGCGGCTTTATCTGGTAGTTGGTACCCAATGTTTGACGTTGATCCGTCTTAAACATATTATTACACAGTATGAGTGTATGACACAGTGCCGCAATAACCGGGTGTGTTGAGTGTGTCAAACACACGGGCCCAGGGTTCCAACCCATATGGGGGGCCCAATGATAAAAATTTTAAAATATATAGAAAGAAAAAAATTAAATCATTTTGTTATAATAATGATTATTAATAAAGATTGAACAAGATTAAACAATAGATCGGTTTTGTTTTGTACACAGCATTATCATACATCAACGTTTCTTTTGCGGCCTGTATAACCGAAATTAAAAATAGAAAAAAAGACTAAAAATATAGATTAAACTAAGATTAAAAATAAGACTTTCAAGTATAGCTTTGCTCAATATTGAAAGACAACAAACAAATGATATTAACATAAAATTGACAATTTTACAAACAAAAAGGCAAGAAAAATGAATTTTTACTTTCTTGATTAAAATGGATTATCAAGTAGATGAAAATGTGGAATTAAATTTTTTTTTAAATTATTTCATTTTTCACAGATAAAAAAAAAGAGTTATTTTTCTCTAGATTTTCATTTAGCTAGGTATATTTCCGAAACTGGAGAACGGATTTCGTTGTTTGGCATCTTGTTAAATTCACATTAGCTGGAGAATTGCAGTGAAGGTTTTAAAAACTTTATCTCCAATCGTTAATTCACTACAAAGCTGTAAAGCTGAAAAAACATCAAAAAACGCCCAATAAAATTTGTTTTAATTTTGTTTATGTTCTGTAGTGAATTAACTATTAAAGATAAAGTTTTGAAAATCTTTACTGCACTTCTCCTAACCAATGTGAATCTAATAAGACCCCAAACAACGAAATCCTCTATCCGGTTTCGGAGATCTATCTCACTAAATGAAAATGAAAATGATTTTTTGTGGGGCTGTTCACACCGAAATTTTTCTGGATTCAAATTGTTATACCGCCTGGGTGTGATATCAGTTAATACATTTCTAAAAATTAAAAATCGAGAAAGTTTACATGCCAATCCCTGACTTGGCAAGCCTTTTTAAAGTGAGTACACTAGTATTTATTTTTGAGTTTCTAATTGACAGTTAATGTATGGTATGTTCAATTTATTTGTTCTTTGATAATTATTTATTTATTTAAAATGAATAAAAAAGGCTACAAATTATTGCTTTTATTTATTTGTAAATACATAAGTACACCTACATGTTTTAATTATGTTAACCTTATTTTGTATGAGTAAAAATTCAAAATTCCAATGAATGTTTTCAAATTTGGAAAAATTAATTTTACAATAGTCAATAGGTCAATTTTTCAATTTTCAAGAGTGAGGGGGGGCATTCATTTTATTTACACACGGACCCAAATTGGTGTAGTTGTGGCACTGGTATGACATATTAATTGTTCTCAAAAATAATGCATTTATTTTATTATTAATTATTAAAATAATATATATGTTTTTCATAATATCTAGTAAGTTTACAATAATCATATGTCACGGTGTTAGGACCACTCTTCCGAAGCGCCTCAACCGAATTTAATGCATTTTTTTTTCATATTTTGTAGGTATGAGAATATAGATCGTAAAGTATTTTTCACCCTCCTAGGTCCAATCTGAGAAGGTGCTCAAACGGGGATTTTGAGATTTAAGGTGGAAATGGTTGCTATTGGTTACAGGAGAAATAATTAGTAGAAATTAGTATTTATTATTTGGTTGCCGTTGGTTAATCGGGCAGATCAGGCGTAAGCATGCATCAAATATAATTTTCACACATTGCCTACTTGACATGCTGTCACACATTGTCCACGATTCAATGTAGTCGGATTACCTAAAAGAGGGAGGCTGAGTTTCACCCAAAAGGAGTTGAACAATCACAATTTTTTTTAAAGTTGTAGTTTTCACTTTTTACGGACAACGAACTGCGTGGGACCAGCTAGTAATAATCTGTATATATATAAAAATGGAGCGTGAAAAATGTACGTTACCTCATCAATTGAGAACGGCTGGTCCGATTTGGCTCAAATTTTTTTAAAGATGTTCTTAATTGCCAGGTTTTTACGAAAGAAAATTTTAGAAAAATCCACCGGAAAAGTAGGAATTCTGGATGTAAAAAATACAACAGTGGTACAACAGTGTTGGTCATGTTTGTTGATTTATATTATTATTTTTTGTCAATATATATATATGAATATTTTTGTGTAGATTTGACCTCTGGGAAGAAGACAGGCTAATTTAAAAATGGTTAAATTTGGTTTTTTTTTATTCATCGGATTTTAGTACTGTTAGGTTAGGTTAGGATTTTGTATTAATTGATTATATTAATGCACCATAGGTGGAATACGACAAATTTGGTATAACTTTAATACTCTAGAGTTAACTCATACACTTACGTACCTACAAACAGCACGGGGTCCGCGATCTACCTCAGGTAAATTGCCTACCTGATAATATACCTACTGCTGTGAACCAGAAATTTTATTCCGGGCAACGAAAAAGTTAAGATAAGTTTTGAACACCATACACCGAATATTAAATAACGAATTGAACAAAGTTTAAGTCATATAGAGTTGGTACATTTGACGGGCATCGAAGTGCACGGGATCAGCTAGTATAATATAATTATTGATATGAGGTAGCTTTAAAGTCAATACTGGCGTACTGTAGTACGGTGTCGATGTGAATAGGTTAGTGAAATAAGAAACTAAAATGGTATATTATTCTGTATCTCTGTGAGTTATATTAAATTACTATATTATTGTCTATTAGCTTCTCATATCTCAATATCTTATACTGTACTATTGAAACGTGTAAGTAGGTACTATCAAAACAATTGTTGATGTTTGCATTGAATTTTAGTGCAAATTGACTACGACTATAATAATTATGATCATAATTTACGAAAATCATCTTCAAGTTTATAATCATATTAGTTAAAAACTGTACTAGGTATATCAACCATGGTTGCATGGCTGCGTAAATTTATGAAAATGTAGTGTTTTCGGATACTGTTTGGGTACAAATTGTTTGATGTCGGTTACAATTAGTTACTTCAAGGTTACCATATTTTGAAATTGGTTCGAAGTCGATTGGACATAGTCGGGGGGGGGGGCAACTTCATGAAGGTTTTCAA